CAACGTCGAGAGGAGATGTACCTTTGCCGGCCATGATGGTGCGGCTGAAAAAATACTGTAAGAATTCAAGTGCTTCAGGATGCTGTCCGGTCTGTAAAGGAAAATTTCAGGAGGGAATTTGTGGTCGTGGACGTCTTGAAAGGAGTCTTCAACGTGGCAGTCTCATTAGGGTTCTGTCTTCAGGATTTTACAACGATAGGATTTATGGATTTGACTTTCTTCAACCTAACTGACTGCGTGAGTTTTTTTTAGGAAAAAGGGAGGAGAGGAAAAAGCACAAACTCTTGGAAGGATTGTGTCTGCACCCACTGTTTGCTCAGGATTACTTACCTCTCACAATCCATCTTTACAATCCTTTTGTTGAGGATGGAGAGGTGATGACTTTTCTTGAGAGGGACTGTGAGGCTGTGAAAGGCGGTGAGTGTGTGAGGGATCGGTTCGGGATCTGGATTGGGAAGAGGCGTTTTTTTGTGAAGCTCCGGGTGGATTCATCAGTCCCTGGAAGCTTAGTTCACCTACTGGGGTCCTTTTCCATTGGGCCTAACAGGGGTTTTCTTTACTACCCTGGGCAGCCCATGTATTGCAAGAGATGTGGAGGAGAAGGACATGTTAAAACGGACTGTGTAGGACAGCATTGTCGTTTTTGTGGGGTGGCAGACCACGTTGCTTCAACATGCCCTGCACCCAAACTCTGTAGTCTTTGCGGCAAGCCCGAACATCTTTACCGTACCTGCCCATCAAGAAGCAAGTCCTATGCAAGCATTTTGAAGGAAGGAGATGATCTGCAGGCAGACTTGGATGCCATTCTCAGCATTCTACCAGCAGAACGGGAGGGGCAGCTTGGACAAACGACAGGTGCAAATGATCAGGGAAGTACGAGTGCATCAAGTCAGGAGTGTGCTGGTGTGAAGGAGCAAGTGGATGGAGACGTGGAGGATCCAATAACTTTGTACCTGGATGAAAAGGAGGTTAAAGAAGTGGGATCGGAACAGCAGCTTAGTCCGTCGCTGGGATGGACAGATCTGGACTTCACAGAGGTTCTTTCCGATGTGATGGAGGGGGATGAAGAGCAGGCCGTTTTGGAGCCTGCAATCGGATCAACCCACCAACGAGAGTGAGTTCATAGTGGGTCAAAGATGGAGATTGCAGCAGAGTCTGCATCTGGGGCTAGCCGTCGCAGAGCCTGGAGTGATGCTAGTGACACTGATAATGGGGAAATATGCAAACACAGCAAATTGGAGAACTTTGTAAGTTAGAACTCTGCGGGAAAAGATGCTACGGATGAGGGCTATGTAGATAAGGAGAAAGGGGGGACAAGCACTGGGTAGGGGGATAGTATTGAAGAGGAAGAGGGAGGGGAAGAAATTATAGCAGAATCCAGGGAATGGACTGAGGTGGTTTCAAGGAGGGTAAAGGGAGGAAGGGGAAGAAGAGAATGTAAAAAAATGGGGGTAGAAATCATGAATAAGAGTGGGGAATGGGATGGGGAAGTATTGTCGGTGATATGGGGGCTTTAGGGATGGGTCTAAGGGTTTTTCAATGGGACTGATAAGAGTGGCAACGTTTAATGTAAGAGGACAAAAAATGGAGGAACGCCAGACAGCGGTTTTCTTATCGGTTAAAGATTTCTGTTATGATGTTTTGTTTTTACAAGAATGCCACTTGGAGAACGAGAGGGATGTGGAGAGGTTTTCAAAGGAATGGACCGTGGGACCATCTTTTTGGGGAGTGGGGAATGTGAGGGCGGATGGAGTGGGGATTTTATTTTTTTCCTGGGAGGTGATTGTTGAAACATCTGGGGTGATTGTTCCAGGGAGGGTGATTTTTCTGGATGCAAGATGGAGGGGGGTGGCCTTACGGTTTATAAATGTGTATGCACCCAGTAAGTGAGAGGAGAGGGAGGGGTACTTGAGGAAAATTTTTCCGTTATTGTATACTAACCGGCTGGTGGTCTTGAGAGGGGATTTTAATATGTCCTAAGAGAAAAGGTCAGGGGGGGATTTGGCAGGGGTTATTAAAAGTTTTGGATTACAAGATTCAGGTCAGACAATTGGAGGAGAGGGTTCAGGTTATACATGGTGGAACAGTAGGCAGGAGGCATCACGTTTGGAAGTATGAAGATTTGGCAGTATGGACTTCAGCAGAGAAAGATGAAAGCAAAGACTGATACATACTCAGGTCTGACAGATCTTTTGATTTGCGCCATTTTCTCTCTGCTGCCCTGAGTTCGGTTCGATGCTCACGAAGAACATCGGATAAGCAGGGGTTAGAAGGGGCAGCCCGTGCTGGCCTGGAGGAGAGAGGACAAATATCGTCTAGACAAGAGGTTAACAGAGCATAAAGTGTCAGTTGCTGCATTCACATCCAGAGATGAGAAATGGGTAGGTGAGGGAATAGAGAAGGATACTACAGAGGAAAGATGGGAGGGTGAAAGGGAGTGTAGGTTTCGTCTAAAAGTAACCAATATAGGGGTTGGTTGCACACAGGTAACAAAATGTAGTTTAAATGTAATGAAAAAATGCTCAGAGATGTGTAGGGGTTTTCCCAAAATGTTGTCTGCAATACAATTGTGTGTGTAAATTAAGTCAAGTTGTTTGCCTGATTTGTGCCTGCTTGTAGTGGTAAGTCGTTTGAGATCAACTGAAGTTGAGTGGGTTGAGTATTTCCAATTGTTAGAAATGAGCATACCAGTGCCCCCACCCCGGCCAACCTGACGGGGGGTATGAGAGAAAGAGAAATTGTTAGCTAGAGCAGCTGGGGTTGCTGAGTCTTTTGGACCAATCCAGGTCTCAGTCAAGCCCAAGATGCTGAGTGTGGATTGTAAAGAAAAAGCCGAAATGAAGTCTGCTTTGTGGCTCTCTGGAATGACCAGTCAGCTGTCAACAGAGAAAAAAAAGAGGTGCAGTAGAGGATGTAGAGATAGGATGCAGGTTAGCAAGATTGCGTTGCCGTCTACGTGTGATGTTAGAGCGTTGTCGATAGACAATCGGAATGTTTTGGAAACACATGATAGAAGTGGAAAAGAGAGGACAGAAAAAGAGAGTGTGTACAGGGAAGATAAAAATTATACTTAAGTGTGTTGCCGGTTTCGTTGCTCGGTGAAATCGCGCAGATAAAGTCGCAGGTCTTTACACTCGTTGGTCTTAGCACGAGGAGGCCGAATGCATCAGCGCACAGACATAAATTAAATACACAGTAAAGTGAAAACAGCTGTGGCCGCCTTCTAATTAGCACAGCCAATAGCAGGGCAATTTGACAGCACAGGAATTCACCTCGCTCTGGCTCACCCTCAACATCATCAAGGATGCTATCTGGGCCACCAGAAACCTGCTGGTGGGGAAGCGCGTTACGGTACCACTCCATGCATGCGAGCTAAAGGTAACATTAATGCTGCAGGGACAGGGGGGGTAAATTTTGTCTAACAGTGGGAGGGGACAATAAACAATTTTCTAAAGAGCAGGTCGAAGCATTTTTTTTAGCGATAGATGACATTTACACTAAGTGCAAATAGCTATTTATACTATATTAAAATAGCAGGATATTCTGCTAATATTACTTATTGCCAATAGTGCCAGTTATCTGCACCTCAGCATTGTAATACATTCTAAAACAGTATGCAATAATAACTTAGTGTAAATTTTAATTTTATTTAAAATTATTAAATGGGTGCCACCTTATTGGGACAAAAGCCCTCCCTACACCTACCCAATGCTTTTTCAACTTTTTGATTATTTCCTTCATTTTTATTAAGAAATAAATGCTTTTCTGATGTGATTTGAAATTTGAAAAGGGAGAAAAATAAGGTAGATCACTTCAAAAGGTGGATGACACGCGTTTTACCATCTGCGCCACTGGAGCTGATGATTGGTGACCGTCTTTTGTAATGTTGAATTGGGCTACTTTTGGGGACGAATCGGTTGAGCATGTCTCTGAAGGTTTCATTCATGAAATTTTGGAATACGGAAGGCAAGTTAGAAAGGCCATACGGCATCACCCGGTACTCGTAGTGGCTGGAGGGAGTTACAAAAGCCGTCTTCCACTCATCCCCTCTTCGGATGCGGACCAGATTGTAAGCACTGTGTAGATCTAACTTTGTGAAGAGGCGAGCTCCATGGAGTTTCTCTAAGGTGGCTGGTACCAGAGGAAGAGGATAGGTGAATTTGACAGTCTGGGAGTTGAGTGCACGATAATCAATACAGGGGCGTAAAAAAGAAACTGGATGCTGCTGGAGAAGTGGAAGGACTGATGAACCCATGTTGTAAGGCCTCCTTAATGTACTCCTCCATGGCAGCTCTCTCCAGGATCGAGAGTGGGTAGACATGGTAGTTTGGCCCCAGGCAGCAGGCCGATAGCGCAGTCCCATGGACGATGTGGGGGAAGATGTGTTGCCGTGACTTTACTGAATACATCCTGGAACGCCCTGTATTCAATGGGAATTTGAACTGTGCACTGGGAGGCAGGACATCCAATGGTGGTTGAGCAGAGGGTAACGGAGGTAACCGGTGCGGATGGGTGTAGGAAGATCTGTCAAACATCCCTTGAAGCAGTAGTCACTCCACTTGAGCACCACTCCCGAATTCCTTCGGATGTCAGGATGGTGTTGAGCAACTCAGGGGTGCCCCAGGATGATATCCACTGTAGCCTCCTCCAGCACCAGGAACGAGATTCGCTCAGAGTGAAGGCCTCCGATACGGAGCGTGACCTCCAAGGTGCAGTGGCGCACCAAGCCCTTAACCAGCAGCTTTCCTTGGATATTGGAGATCTGATAGGAGGTTGCATTGCGATTTGGAGGGAGCTTGATTTGGGCGAGGCAGAGAGATGAGAAAGTTTCTGGAAGCTCCGGTGTCGACAAGGACTTTAACTGGAAAAGATCGGTTCAAGTATATTAGGAGAGCATCAATGTGTTGTATTCTTGAGACATCATGATGGATTTGGACCGTACTCACCGCTGAGCGTGTTGAGCGAGCAGAACATGTTCACTGGATCCAGAGTATGCAGGTCACGCACATCGCAAGCATTATTATAAGGTAAGTTAATATGATGATATGATTATTTACCTCTATTTTTAATAAGTTGTGGTAAGAACACACCGATTTCTCTGTTTAATGCATATTTGATCTGTTGCTGTGCGGGGTAGCATTATTATGTGAATGATTAAGTAGCCGCCTAGCGAGGTACATTTTTTTTTTAATGGCCTCAACAATCGCCTTATCGTTAATTAAAGTTTATATATATATATATACACACACATACATACACACACACACATATATATATATATATATATATACACACACACACACACACACGTGTGTGTGCGCGAGCTCGCGCAAATTATTTAAACCCTTCATGGAAATGGTATGAACTGCGTCAGAAATACTGGGGCAAGTTCAGTTACTGTCTGCCTAAGTTACCTGTATGGCTTTGTAATGTTTTGTCAGAATTAGACCATTTCATAATAAAATTGATCTTTTAAGGGCATATTGTTTTTCAAATAAATGTCTGCGACGTGCCGAATCCGACGATAGATTCATCATTTTTATGTTGAGCATTTTCGAGCTCTTTTTTCCTCAGGTAACGTTATGCCCCTTACTTTTATAACATTAAACCACGATATTACTGGTATGTAATATTATGTGTTACTTAAATGTAATGTTGTTTTAGCTACAGTATAAAGTTAGACTTAATCTTTCGTGGTGTATGTATGAGGTCCTTTAGTCTTCCTCTATTTTAGTGAATGCTTGTATTGCTTTACAACTAGTGAATATAATAAATTTTATGAAATAAATTTAAATAATGAAATGCTTGTATTGCTTTACAACTAGTCAATATATAAATTTAATGAAAATGCACTCTGATTTAATTTTTTAACAGTGTGGCGATTCTGCCCTCCAGATTAGAGACTAGATTGACAAACTCAATTCAGTGGTGAGATGGCTAGTTAGGGTTGCCATGTGGAATCGTCATTTTAAAATCATAGCATGCAAGAACACCCTGTTTGACAAACGTTTTCTTAATCTGAAATTATATTCTAGGTATGTGAGATTATTGCTGGTGCAGATGGACAAGGAATGGTGGCTTGACACCCTGGCTGACATCTTTAAAGGTTATATCTAACATGAGCCTCTCTTGTTTTCTTTCCTAACACGTGCTTACTCTCAAGCCCATGTAATATCTTAAACATTATTGGAATATGGTTGCATTTGTTTTTCGTTTTCAAATTTTATCAGATTTCAGGAGACTTTAGGAAGCTATATCCAGAGGCAGACAGAAAACATTTTGAAGACTGGACTAACGTTACAATCGTAGACCGAATTCTTGCCTATGCCCATCGAGATGGAAAGGTGCATTTAGAGCTGGGTGACATGACTCCAGGTAAGATATTTTTTATAATATGTCAATTTATAAAAACAAAATTCAACTGTATTTGACAAATATCAACTGGTAAATACAGTCGTAACACTTTAGTATAGGGACCAATTCTCACTTTTAACTAGTTGCTTATTAGCTTGTATATTGGCTGTTAATTCTGCTTGAGCATATTCTACATCCCTGAATCCTACCCCCATACCTAAACTTAAATCACTACAACAACGTTAAAACACAAAAGTCGTAATTAATAGTGAATATGTGTTCCCCATACTAAAGTGTTACCAATGCAGCTTTGTTGTTACCTTATCATTGAGAAACTTTCCACTAATGTTGGGCTGTTGCTTACCAGCCTGAACCATTTAGGCCCTCCGTTTGGTCTTTACTCCAGTATCCTTGCTGTTATTTCTCCTCTTCCTCTCTGCTTTTCTTCGCTTGCTCTGTCTTGCCACTGTTGTAGTTCCAAACTTATGTCCTTCTTGCATAACCTATATTCAGCACAAAAACTCTTAGTAGTTCTCATGAATTTAGAAATCTGATGTTGGTATTCTCAGTCAGTTTACTATAATAAAAAATATATATTGTTTACATGTAAAGGCTGTGATTTTTTTTAAATATTCTTTAAGATTAACCATGTTTAAATTCATCAGTCAACAGTATTTTGTCCTTCAAATTCCAGTGAACCATTTACAGTTTCTAAAACCCCACCTTTGTTTCGCAGCATCACATACATGTAACTTATCCCATCAGCATGGGGACCGTGGGGTGGGGGGCCTGCAGTGGTTGAATGGGGGTGGGGACTAATTTGCATATTCATGAAACTGCATGTACAGGTGCACAGGCGTAGTTACATCCAAGCTATTTATAGGAATAAAGACATTTTCACAGGAAAAGATGTTTCAATGTGTCGTTTTGATTATGAGATCAGTTTCACAGTTTGCACTGTATTATTATTATGGTTTAGATGCTAAAGGGGAGAGTGCTTTCAATGTCCTGCCCACTCTGCTTCCCCCATCAATATACAAGCAAGGCGGAGAGGTCTTCAGACCCACAACCACGGAATCCCGGAAGTCATTCATTGACGTACAACCTGTAAGTTTTGTTTTACTTTCTACTCTAATAAGGGTAGATATATAGACTACCAGATTTTTTATGTTTTTAAATAAGTCTCTTCTGCTCATCAGGCCTGCATTTATTTGATGCAAATAACAGCAAAAACAGTACAATTTTGAAATATTTTTACTATTAAAATTCCGTAACTTTTCTGTTTGAGTATATTTTAAAATGTAATTTATTTGTGATTTCAAAGCTGAATTTTTAGCATCATTACTCCAGTCACATGATCCTTCAGAAATCATTCTAATATATATATATATATACATATATATATATATATATATAAAACCATATTCTGATTTGCTGCTCAAAAAACATGTATTACTGTTATTTATTACACAATATTACTGTGTTTTGGATCAAATAATTGCAGGCTTGGTGAGCAGAAGAGACTTCTTTAAAAAACAAAGATTCTTACTGTTTTAAAACTTTTGACTGGTTGTGTGTGGGTGTGTGTGTGTGTGTGTATATGTGGGACTCATATGCATCTATTACAGAAGGTTCAAATGCGTACTGATGCTCCAGAAGGAAACACGATGCATTAAGAGATGGAAAACTTTTGAACAGAATGGAGATGTGTACATTTTTCTTATTTTGCCTAAATATCATATTTTTTTCATTTAGTGCTGCCCTTCAGAAGCTACAGGAAATACTTAAATGTTTCCCAGGAGACAAAATAATTTAAATTCACCCTGATCTTCAAATTCCAAAAGTTTCCTTCTGGAGCATAAGTAAGCGTTTGAACCTTCTGTAATAGATGCATATGAGTCCCTCAGTTGTCCTCAATGTGAAAAGATGGATCTCAAAATCATGCAGTCATTGTCGGAAAGGGTTCAAATACACAATAATGCTGGAAAACCAAATAATTTGAAGAAGCTGAAGTATTTTTTCTGAAGAACAGCAGGCAGTTTAACTGTTCAGGACAAACAAAAGGACCCATGAACAACTATCACTAAACAAAAAAAAACACAGCTGTGGATCATACAGGTAACAACACAGTATTAAGAATATTTAGAGCAATTTAAGTGTATTCCTTAAAATACATTTAAAATGTCCTTTTAATACTTCATGAACTACAGTTAGAGTATATTTGAAGCATCGTTTTAATGTACTTCAAGTACATTTCAATTGTATTTCAGCTCATTGGAAATGCATTAGCATTACACTATATATTGTATATTATAAAGCTGCTTTTTTCAGTATATACACACACGTACACACTTTGATATCTAGAAAACTTTAATGCATTATATATTGTTGTGTACATTACAAATATTAATAAAGTACACTAAAAAAGGACAGCAGCATATATACTATGGTGAAAAACAAAACAAAACATACTATTAAATGTATTAAAAATGCACTTGATGCTTACCCTTTCCTTAAGACAACAATCTACCAAAATCTCATCATACTGGGGGAGGTGGTCGAGAAGAAAAAAGATTTAGATGACCTGTGTTTTTTTTTTCTCCCTTCCCTCTCTCTCTCAGTTTTGCCATTTATATGAGTTTGAAGCACCCCCCCCCCCCCCCCCCCCCCCCAAAAAAGGGGATCCTTAGATCATTTTGACTCTTAATACATAAACCGTGTCAGATGTGTAAGCCTTAACATAACTTTGTATGGCAGAATCTGACTCTTAATATATAAACCGTGTCAGATGTGTAACCCTTAACATAACTGAATACTCATGAATGTAGTACAAGTTATATTTGGTGGCCACTGTCTGTAAGTATATGTCTGTTATGTGTATAGGTTGTTCTTTAGAATGTATCCTTTTGTTCTGTATTTGTTTGAAAAAAAGGAGGGAAAAAAATAAAGTATTTTAAAAAATGCACTTGAAATACAAGTACGTTTATAGTATATTTGAATTACTACAAACACACTCAAGTACATTTGAATACATTATAAAAAACATAAATTAAAAAAAGACTGAAATGCTATGACAGGGCTATCTTTTCCATTTGTAGAACATTTCAGTTATACCGGCCTTACTAAAAAGTACAGAATTTTACATCAATGAATAAATAAAAATTACAAAGCAATTTTCTGAAGAAATAAAATACATAAAGACTGAAAAACAAAGTGCATAAGTGAATAGCTGTGTGTGTGCAAAGACTGAAGATGATATAGTTCAAGCAACAGAATAGGAAGGGATGGAGGGGGTTTTGGAGGTGGACAAGGAGATGGCGTAGGGATGGTGAGAGGCAAAAGTGCGGGGATGATGGCAGGATGTGGCGAAGGGATGGTGATGGGAGGATGACGATGATGCCCTGGCAGCTTAGATGGTGTTTGGCACATGGCACAGACCCAGAGCGTCCCAGTGCTGACAACACACCGATGGAGACAGAGCTGGTGGATCCGAAGGCACAGGTTCCAGAGACCTGGGCACAGCCTAGTCGTCCTGACTCCTGGCATACAATATTTTGCACCAGAGCCTTGCAGCTTTAGAAAAAAACAAAACAGAAACAAAATTAAATAACAGATTTTTACATGAATGACTGAAAGCAAGCACAAATTAGCCAGCTGGAATGGACACATTGCTGACGTTTTTCTTCCAAGCAAAGGAATAGTAAGTATATTTTCATGTTGTATCACCTCTGTTATAGAGATTTTTGAATCAGGCCTAATGGAGGGTGATTTGGTCAAATGTTAATATTTCACACACACACACAAAAAAGCTAATGATGATTGATGATTTGTTTTCTTTTTAAGAATGATGAATTCTTTCTGAGAACAATGTAATATAGTCAAAAACCTTCCCAGCCTCAGCAGTTTCATATGTACTGTATGCTCTCATATAAGCAACCCTTCTTACAATTTAATCTTTGTTCTTATCTGTAATGAGAAATATATATTAGAAAATAAAGGCGATAAGGTTGTCAAGCTTGAACAAATATAAACACCAATCAACGAACACTACCACAGTTGGCTAATCAGCTCAAGACAAAGTAATTGTATGTTCATAATCATGGTTTTTCAAAGATCATTAACCTCATTACAATGAAGCCAAATTGTTCAGGAAATCAGAAATAAATAAATAAACAACTTCATTTTGCAAATAAAAGAATGTTAATGTTGGACATGTTATAATGACTAATTTTATTGTATTAATTTTTTTCTGCCAATGCAAGTCAAAAACAGGACTGGCACAGACAAATAACGTTAATTAAATCTTACCTGAAGTCACAGTGAGGTTCCAAAAGCCAGACGCCATACACGCTTGCAGAAGCTGGTAAAAATAAGAACATACTGCTATATTTTCTAATTAATTTCATAGTTCTCCCAAAACAATTTGAATTCTGTCATCACTCACCCTTAAGATGCTCCAAACCATCTAAGACTTTCGTTCATCTTCAAAAGAAAAGCTGAGATATTTTATTACAAATCTGAGAGATTTATGTCCCTCCAATGACAGAAGATTCAGCAAAGATGTTCACGTTTCAAAAAGTTGGAAATCGCAAAAAAACATCGCCAAAGTAATCCATATGAATTGGGTGGTTTCCTCCAAGTGACCTAAAGAGACACGATCAGCGACCGCTCTATATAATACTGTTTAATTTAGACTTATATTCACATTCAAGAGACATTTGCATGCACATCATATTTTATATGCGAAGCTCTCTGGGGTGAGCTCATTATCATACGAACCAATCAGAGCCGTTCAATGGCTCTGGAACCAATCAGGTTTAGTCAGTGGGTTGTTTGAATTTAAACAAAGGTAAGCAAGTTTTTTTTTTTTTAAAATATAACCATGTGTAGGCCTACTGCAATATAAAGTACATTAAAAACCCACTAAAAGTGTAATCATTTTCTTATGTTCTTACACAAAGTAGACATAAAATATACTTTAAGTAAGGGTAACATAAGTATGTTATTTGTGAACAATATTGGAGAGAAATAGGCCTTTTGTGTACATAGAAAAAGTCTTAGATCTTTGAGTTCAGCTCATGAAAAATGGGGGCAAAAACAAAAGTGTTGCGTTTATAATTTTGTTCAGTGCATATACATATATACACACACACATATATATATATATATAACTATAGATTTATGCAGTATATTGTTTAGATTTTATTTTAATCTGTTTTTCAGTATGTAATGTTTGAGTAAATTTGTCATGAAAATAATTTATGAAAACCAATGCTCGATTGTTTATATTTCAAAATACAAATTGGACTGCGCCAAATGCCTTGTGGGCAGCACACAAACATATAGCGTCGCTGCACTACGGGCATCCCGAGCTGGAGTCTCAGCTCCTGGACCTTTCCTAATACTGGCCCTCTCCCTCTCTCCCACTTCACTTCCTGTCATTACTCAACTGTCCTCAACACAAATGCCCAAAATACATCTTTAAAAAACAAAAATGAAACAAAACAACAACAACAAAAAAACTAGTTGGAGTAGAAACATAATTATACCATTAACATATTTTAAAATGGTCTCATTATTATAATGCACATTGTGTAATTTAAAAATGTTGTATATAAATGTGTAATTAATAGTTACTATTCCAATTTAATCCTTAGATTAATTGTAAAAATTTAAGAAATACAACAAACAAACAAACCTACAATTCTACATTAACTGCAACAAATCACTGACATTGTCAGTATACCTAGCCCATATTCTCACAGTTCAGGGTTTTCTCTTCCCAAGTATGGACAATTTGTTATTGTTTGCATATAATAAAATTGATTTGATGAACTCAACTCTGCTGAATAACCTCTGTCAAAGAGGAATAATCCTATAGTAATAAACATACCATATATGACCTAAACGAGTTTGAGTTCTCGGAACTCTCGCTTTCCATGGCGCCCAACAAAATTATATCCCCTTGACAAGGAGTGATCCAAAGGAAGGCCATCATTCTCCTTGTAGCTTTATCCACAGTGCTCCCTCCAATATCTGCCACCACAGCAACCCAAGGAAAAACAAGATTATCATTTCATATATTCACAAAGAACACACACAGACA